GTGGGCGGAGCTTTCCCCCTATGATGACACGTACAAAGGGAAAATGCCAATCAAAGTGTTTCTGCAGTGTGTGTGTGTGTGTGTGTGTGTGTGTGTGTGTGTGTGTGTGTGTTGTTGTGTGTGTGTGTGTGTGTGTGTGTGTGTGTGTGTGTGTGTGTGTGTGCTGTGTGTTTGTGTGTACACTGACCGGCAGCGAATCGTGCCTCCTGCTCTCCCTCAGTGAGGTGTGAGTATGATGTGATGTGTTTTCCCAGAGCGTGGTTGTGTCGCTGGGTTTACTCCAGCCCTTCCACTCGATCAGGGTGTTCCACGCGGCCTTGCGCCATCGCTGTGGGCTTCGTCACATGATCTTTGACCACCTGTGAGATTCCTGAACACACACAGAGAGACCACACACAGAGACCACACATGGACACACACACAATGCAGAGGTCAGTGACATACACACTGCATAATGCAGGAGCAATAATCTGATCATACTGACAGTCAGGAGAGTGTGTGTGTGTGTGTGTATCTCTGAGTTTGTTTGTTTTTCAGTGTGTGAATGTGTCTCTCTGTGTTTTTGTGTGTCTGTGTGTGTGTGTGTGTGTGTGTGTGTGAACATATAGGTCTGTGTTTGTTTGTTTGCATGCGTATTTCTGTGTTTGTGTGTATGTTTGTTTGTTTGTGTGTGTCTCTGTGTGCAACTGTTTCTCTGTCTGTGTGTGTATATCTCTGTTTTTTGTGTATGTGGGTGTGTCTGCGTTTGTGTGTGTGTATCTCTGTGTTTATGTTTTTCAGTGTGCGTGTGTCTGCATGTGTGTGTGTCTGTGTTTGTGTGTGTGTGTGCGCATATGTTTATGTGTTTGTATGTTTGTGTGTGTCTGTGTGCAAATGTTTCTCTGTCTCTGTGAGTGTGTGTGTGTGTGTGTTTTTGTGAAAGTGTATTTGAGTGTGCGTCTGTGTTTGTGTGTGTATATCTTTTTGTGTGTATATGTGTTTGTTTATTTGCATGCGTATCTCTGTTTCTGTGTGTGTGTGAGTGTGTTTGCTTTGTGTGTGTTTCTGTTTGTGTGTTTCAGTGTGCAAATGTGTCTATCTATGTGTGTGTGTAAGTGTGTGTGTGTGTGTGTGTGTGTGAGCATATGTCTATGTGTTTGTTTGTTTGCATGCGTATCTCTGTGTGTGTGTGTGTGTGTATGTGTGTGAGTGTGTTTGTTTGTGTGTGTTTCGTTTTTGTGTTTCAGTGGGCAAATGTGTCTATCTATGTGTGTGTGTAAGTGTGTGTGTGTGTGTGTGCGCATATGTCTATGTGTTTGTTTGTTTGCATGCGTATCTCTGTTTCTGTGTGTGTGTGAGTGTGTTTGCTTGTTTGTGTGTGTTTCTGTTTGTGTGTTTCAGTGTGCAAATGTGTCTCTCTCTATGTGTGTGTGTGTGTGTGTGTGTGTGTGTGTGTGTGTGTGTGTGTGTGTGTGTGTGTGCGCATATGTCTATGTGTTTGTTTGTTTGCATGTATCTCTGTGTGTGTGAGTGTGTTTGTTTGTGTGTGTTTCGTTTTTGTGTTTCAGTGGGCAAATGTGTCTATCTATGTGTGTGTGTAAGTGTGTGTGTGTGTGTGTGTGTGTGTGTGTGTGCGCATATGTCTATGTGTTTGTTTGTTTGCATGCGTATCTCTGTGTGTGTGTGTGTGTGTGTGTGTGTGTGTGTGTGTGTGTGAGTGTGTTTGTTTGTTTGTGTGTGTTTCTGTTTGTGTGTTTTAGTGTGCAAATGTGTCTCTCTATGTGTGTGTGTATGTGTGTGTGTGTGTGTGTGTGTGCGCATATGTCTATGTGTTTGTTTGTTTGCATGTGTATCTCTGTGTGTGTGTGTATGTGAGTGTGTTTGTTTGTTTGTGTGCATCTCTGTGTTTGTTTCTGTGTGCAACTCTTTCTCTGTCTGTGTGTGTCTGTGTGTGTGTGTGTGTGTATCTCTGTTTTTTGTGTACTGTATGTGTATGTGTATGTGAGTGTGTGTCTGTGTTTGTTTGTGTGTGAATGTGTCTGTGTGTGTGTGGGTGTGAATGTGTGTGTGTGTTTTAGTGTACGAATGTGTCTGTCTGTATGTATGTGTGTGTGTGTGTGTGTGTGTGTATGTGTGTGTGTTTTAATGTGCAAATGTGCCTGTGTGTGTGTGTGTGTGTGTGTTTGTTTGTTTGAGTATGTGTGGATGTCTCTGTGTTTCTGTGTGCAAATGTTTTTCTGTCTGTGTGTGTCTGTGTGTGTGTGTGTGTGTGTGTGTGTGTGTGTGTGTGTACCGTGAAGTGAAGATCTGGCCAGCGCTGCGATCTCTTGAATGGTGAGAGCTCGTCTGGATTTTGGTAACATGTCGTTTCTGTCCTCAACATTTAACTGAGAGAAAACAACAGTAAGAATAAACGATGAGTGAAGCATTCCCTCAATACATTATCAATAAATCAGTGAACAAACATATTCACATTTACTCTCAGCAACACAGACAGAGAACTGCATCCTTACATTCTCTCAAGAAACAATGATCCCACAACTGCGAGTAAAATACACACTCTGATTGATATTTAACAGTAAGATTCTCATGTTTACAGCGAAAGCTACTGTGAGCTCTGAGGTTGTTAACCGATGTGTGTTTATCGAAGCGGTCCGCTCACATTTATACAACTTTTATTAAAACACTCACGCCTAGCAGAATTATTCCAGAAACAATACATTACCCATGATGCTATGAGGCTACCAAAGTGCACCAACAAAGATCTACAGCTCCGCCCACTCACTTGAGGCAAATTCTATTTAATTCTATTCTATGCATCTAGTTATTCTGTTTCTCTGCTCTGATGTGCTTCTGCTCCGTTTTATTTTATTCCAATCTGTCCATCTACTGTAGACAGGTATTTTCTGCATTGCTGATCTGATGTAATTCTATTCTACTCTTTTAATCTTGTCCAGACACATTTTAATTTGCTGTTCTATTCTGTTCTATTGCATTCTGTCCTTCTGGTGTAGACATATATTTTTATGTTTTGCTCATCTGATGAGCTTCTATTCTGCACTTCTGTTCTAATCTATTCCCCCTATCTACAATAGACAGGTACTTTGTTTTGCTGCTCTATTTGATTATATTGTATTCTTCTATTCTATACCAGAGAGAAAGCTTTTTTGCTGCTCTGAAGATCTTCTATTCCATTCCACTGTATTATATTCCATTCTTTTATATTCTATTCTATTCTGACCATCTAGTGCAGACAGGTATTTTCTGCATTGACATCTATTCTATTCTATTCTATTCTATTCTATTCTATTCTATTCCACTGCATTATTTTATATTCTATTCTGACTGTCTAGTCCAGACAGGTATTTTCTGCATTGAAGTTTAATCTATTCTATTTTATTCTATTCCATTACATTACCATCTAGTCCAGACAGGTAATTTCTGCGTTGAATTCTATTCTATTCTATTCTATTCTATTCTATTCTATTCTATTCTATTCTATTCTATTCTATTCTATTCTGACCATCTAGTCCAGACATGCATCTTCTGCCTTGAAATCTATTCTGTTCCATTCTGTGCATTGCTTCAAGACCGAAAGATGTTGAGCCACTCTGAAATGCTTCTATTCCATTGCCATCTATTCAGTTCTATTCAATTATATTCCTTCCATTCCATTGTATTCCATTCCAGGAAAATAACAGACTGGATTAGCAGAATAGAATAGAATAGAATAGAATAGAATAGAATAGAATAGAATAGAATAGAATAGAATAGAATAGAATAAAATGGAATGGAATTGTATAGAATAATGATATCAGGGAAATGAACAACATTTTAAAAAGTGAAAACAGTAAAACAGAATGATATAGAAAATAAAAAATGAATCAGCAGAGTAGAATAGAATAGAATAGAACAGAATAGAATAGAATAGAATAGAGACTTCAGTGCCAGTACATTTTAGACTAGATGGAAATTAGTTCAGTAATGTAAGAAGAATGAAATGGAAAATAGAAATGGAATAATGACTTAAATGCTATAAACCTGAACATTTTAAACAAGTGAGAGCAGTGGAGAAAAAAGAATGATATAGACAATATTATAATAGACTGGACTAATAGAACAGGCAAAATAGAAAAGAATAATAACCAAGTGTGAAAACAGAGAAGAACAGAATGACATAGAAAATAATAGAATGAATCAGCCTATAGAATCTGTAGAATATAATAGAGCAGTGACTTTCTCAGTACCAGTATATTTTAAACTTGATTGCAATGTGTACAGGAGTGTAAAAAAAAGAATGAAATTGAACAGACTGGATTAGCAGAATAGAATAGAATAGAATAGAATAGAACAGAATAATGACGTCAGTGCTAAAACCAGAATATTTAAAACGAGTTAGAACAGTAGAGAAACAGAAAATAATAGAATGAACCTGCCTAATAGAATAGGCTATACAGCAGTGTACAGGTGTGTGTAGGTGTGTGTGTGTGTGTGTGTGTGTGTGTGTTAGGGCTTCCAGATATAAAAAAAAAAAGCTGACACTGCGATATTTAGCTTTTCCACAGTATATTCTGCATTATGAATTAACTATGATTAAACTGAAATAACTACACAATTCTCATGTGTTCAGAACTGTTGTGCGTGGTCATCTGTAATCCTGACCCTGCATTGCACATCCTGTGATTTGACTATAGCGGAATCACACATCGCGGTGTCAATGCTATAACAATATGTTAGAAAATAACAGAATGAATAGGCTATACAGCAGTGTACAGGTGTGTGTGTGTGTCTCTTGTATATCAGCAGGAGACACACAGTTGACACGTGCACATGCCGTGTTCAAACACTCCGGAGCAGATGTGAGAACTCACAAGGGAAAAAACACATTAGCCAACACGTCATGGCACAGTTAGCGTAGCACACCACAATAACAACCGATGCATATTGAACTATAAAAGCACGCAAACGCCAAACCCAAGAGCTCCTAATTTACACCAGGAAAAACCAGCAATACAGTCTGCAGTTCACTCAAGCACACACA